AAATTAACTGCCAACCAAGATGGCAGCTGGCAGCCAGGCAGCTGAAGCGAACAGGAGGCTTGCTTGCTCCAGTGACGGAGGAAGCCAAGGTTCCCCGCCTGCCACTGCTGGGCTCTGAGCTTGCACTCTAAGAACCAATGTTACAATTATAGAAGCTAAACAAACCCCATGCTTTCAGCCGGCCGAGCCGGAGTTGCAACAGTGTTTCAATTATAGAAGCCAAACAAACCAGATACCTGCTTTCAGCAGCCGAGGTCTCAGAGCTGGAGCTGAGCCTCAGAGCTAAAGCTGGTTCTCAGTTCCAGTGACAGCCATAGAAGGTAAATAAATCCCAGAATAAAAAAAAAAAAAGAAAGAAAGGAGAGGTTGGGAGCTTCAGTCACCCACCAGCCTGAAAACGGCCCTCAGCCCCTCATCCAGGCTGGCCAGGCATCCCAGTGGGGACCCCCACCCTGAAGGGGGTGTGACCAGCTGCAAACAGCCATCATCCCCTCATCCAGGCTGGCCAGGCACCCAAGTAGGACCCCCACCCTGAACCAGGACACCCTTCAGGGCAAACCAGCCGGCCCCCACCCATGCACCAGGCCTCTATCCTATATAGTAAAAGGGTAATATGTCTCCCAGCACCGGGATCAGCGGAGCCACGAGGCCTCTTGAACCTGGGATCAGTGGAGCCGTGAGGCCTCCCAGCACCAGGATCAGCGGAGCCTCCCAGTACCGGGATCAGCGGAGCAGCAAGGCCTCCCAGCACTGGGATCAGCAGAGCAGTGAGGCCTCCCAGCACTGGGATCAGCGGAGCCGCGAGGCCTCCTGGCCCCTGGAGCAGCATGACTGGGGGAAGCGCCCAAACCCCCTGATCACCCTGCGGCTCTGCCTGTGACAGGGGGAGGGGCCACAACCTCACTATCTGCCCTGCTCTGTTTGTGACAGGGGAAGGTACCCCAACCCCCTGATCGGCCCTGCTCTGTGCCTGATAGGGGGGAGCTCCCCAACCCCCTGATGCGCCCTGCTCTGTGTGTGACAGGGGCGCTGCCCCAACTCCCCCATCGGCCCTACTCTGTGCGTGACGGGGGGAGCTCCCCAACCCTCTGATTGGCCCTGCTCTGTGCGTTGCAGGGGGGAGCTCCCCAACCCCCTGATCGGCCCTGCTATGTGTGTGACAGGGGGTGGCACCACAACCTCCCCATCGACCCTGCCTTGAGTGTGACAGGGGGCAGCGCCCCACCACCCCAATCGGCCCTACCCTGAGCGTGACTGGGGGTGGCATCGCAACCTCCCAATCCGCCCTGCTCTGTGCATGACAGGGGGCGGCACCCCAACTCCCCAATCGACCCTGCTCTGAGCCCGACCAGGGGCTGCAACTAAGGATTGGGCCTGCCCTCTGCCACCCAGGAGCAGGCCTAAGCCAGCAGGTCGTTATCTCCTAAGGCATCCTAGACTGTGAGAGGGCACAAGTGGGACTGAGGGACACCCCCGCCTCCCCTGCCAGTGCACAAATTTTTGTGCACCGGGCCTCTAGTAGATCTATAAAATTCTAAAATGAGTCCTAGCTGGTTTGGCTCAGTGGATAGAGCATGGCCCTGTGGACTGAAGGGTCCCAAGTCCGATTCCGGTAAAGGGCACATGCCCGGGTTGCAGGCTCGATCCCCAGTGAAGGCAGGGGGCGTGCAGAAGGCAGCCAATCAATGATTCTCTCTCATCATTGATGTTTCTATCTCTCCCTTCCTTTCTGAAATCAATAAAAATATATTTTTAAAAAATAATATAAAATAAAATTCCAAAATGAGTTGAGCTCATAAAGAATTTTCTTCTGTAATCCAATAGTGTTCCTGGTATAAAAGTTTCCAATGGATTTGGGAAGGAGGAAGGAGCATCTGTATAGGAGACATCCATTGAGATTCCCAGCATTGTAGCCTCATTATGAAAAAGTGCAATCAATTTTAAGATGTCATATCAAAAATAGCTGATGGGTGAAAGTGATTGACAGGAGCTGGCTCAGATGTCCTTGACAGGGCTCTGATTAGGGAACCTATGTCTACAGCTGATTCTTAGAGGGGAACCCAAGTGCACTTAATGAAAGACTGTGACTCATATGAGAACATAAATTCCAGAGTTTTCCAAATTCGGAAAGTCTCTGTCTTTTGTCAGTTTCCATTACTAACTGTTGGGGTCCAACCCCAGCAGATCCAGGGGTTCCCAAAGGTGTGGACGGAGTCGGCGAAGAAGGAATGACACGGAGACAGCGTTCAGTTGATCAGCAGCCTAGCCAGGATCTCAAGGCCAGGAGCTCCAGCCAAGTTCTGTCTAGGACAGACGTGGGCAAACTTTTTGACTTGAGGGCCACAATGGGTTCTTAAACTGGACCGGAGGGCTGGAACAAAAGCATGGATGGAGTGTTTGTGTGAACTAATATAAATTCAAAGTAAACATCATTACAAAAAAGGGTACGGTCTTTTTTTTTTTCTTTAGTTTTATTCATTTCAAACGAGCCGGATCCGGCCTGTGGGCCGTAGTTTGCCCACAGCTGGTCTAGGATCTCCAGCCAAGTTCTGGTGTTATATACCAGTTGATTTTAATCCTAGCCATTCTATTCCAAAGGATAGGGCGTTTCTTATCTCCATTCCAAGGTTACTCTATTGTTCTATTAAGCTACAAGGAAGTAACTGAAGAAGACTATCCTAAGTAAAGATTATGTAGTTTAAGCGTGATTGTTCGTAGTTAAAGTGATTAATTACCCGCCTGGCACTTAGTTAAGGGGTTTTATTCCCTCCCTAACTCCAGGGAAAAATCCCCACCTGGGGAAACAACTTTTCTCAGAGAGGTGACCTTGGTTAAAACACATAACGCTAAGAAGGGAAGCAAACATATTAAGAACAGCATGCCATTTACACCAGGTCCCTTGAAACATATGCTGTGCAGATGTTTCTTCCCTGCAGTGACTGTGTCAAGCAGCAAGGATGAACCAGCTTCTGGCAAATAACATTCACAAGAATGCCCCTATATAGGGAGCTGTTTCTTTATAACCATTGTGGAAATCGAAAAATATATTATTATGAAAGCATAACTTTTTTTTTCCTGGATCTTTTCGAGTAACAATTTGCCATCATCCTTGTAAAGGAAAAAGAAAGCAACTACATATTTTGAATAAATACATTTTTAAACCCTTAAGAGCATGCCTATTTCCATTCAAGTTTGCAATGGTGTGCTCAGGTCCTGGGTGTGCACTGTGACAGGAAGTAAGACTTACAGCTTTCCAGTTCAAGGGAACAATTCTGCCTGTCCAGATTCTGCTGGAATCCATAAAGCACGTTGCTGAAACAGTCATCCTAGAAAAAGAAGAAGGAAAGGGAAACTGTAGATCATTGAACCATATGGCCAACATGCAATTCTGAATCTCCCTCACTGCTTGCTGTTTCCTGTGCATTTCAGGAATGATGCAGAATAGGCATTGCCATTTTCTATCCAAATGACGCTGCCGGAAACAAACCCAGGAAGGCGGATGATTTGCCTGAGACATAGAGTTCACAGGTGAATTCCTCCTCGACTAATTGCTGCTGATCTCACCACTTCCCGGTCAGCTCCCTCTGTGTGTTCTGGCTTCCAAGTCTTCAGAGAAACACATTTCAAAGTGAGAATACTTTCAAATAGATTTAAATATTGTCTGCCTTTTGGAAGACCCAAACTTAAATAGTTTCTAGTGATAAAGGCTGGGTGGTGGTAATCAAAACCTATGGGTGAAGGTTTTGCTCACAAACCAGGTTTACCTGAGGAAATTCTCTTTCCAGAAGAGAGGAAAAAGCCCAGAGCATTTTCAGTTATACATTTATGAGCACAATGCATAATTCAGGTGCTATTAATTCAAAAGGCTTGCATACTGATGAGGACTGTTTTTCCACATTTTATATTCTGCTAGATTTTCCTGGCATCAGGCAGAGGCTGCGGTGCTACGATCCTACCTCAAAGTAGAAACTTTGTGCCCACAATATCAGATCAGAGGTGCATAAAAGGCCCCCGAGCGAGTCTGCAAAAAACAAAGCCAACAGCTGCTCCCACCACGGTGCCCTCCAGTTAATCCGAGAAGCGGAACTATTTTATCTCCAGTGTATTGACTTCTACTTTCATTAGTCAGTTAGCAAAATGCCATGCCGGGCAGTGTCTGGGTGACTCCGTGTCACAAAACGCACTCGTTTTGCCATATCCCTAGTACTTTAAAGTGGGAAGGACCTCTGAGTCTTTGAGTCTACCTCCTTCATGGCACACAAGAATAAATTTACAACCGAGAAGGCTGGGTGGGGGGTAGTAAAGAAAGCATTATTCACAACATTTGTTAAAGAGCAGCGAGGAAGACTATGGAGGGGGTCTGCAATAATGGGGCTTTTGAATAAGGGAGAGGATGGGGCACGGCTCCAATATAACAAAAGGAAAGTGACCATTTAGAGCCAAGGAGCAGGATGGGGGTCAGTGGATAGAAAATTACTCAGAGGGCCCTCTGGCTCCGTGGTTGAGTGTGGATCTATGAACCAGGGGGTCACAATTCCATTCCCGGTCTGAGCCGGGAGCTCAATCCCCAGTAGGGGTCGTGCGGGAGGCAGGCGATCATCGATTCTCTCTCATCGTTGATGTTTCTCTCTCTCTCTCTCCCTCTCCCTTCCTCTCTGAAATCAATAAAAATATGTTTTTTAAAAAAGAAAGACAAGAGAGCACATGCATATCACTCAGCCTCCAACCCTCAGCAGGCGCCGCCCGCAGCTCCTCGCGCCCCACCCCCTCCGGGGAAGTTGCGTCATCACGTCTGGGGAAGTTGCGTCATCACGCTCACGCGCCCGCCCTTTCCCCATGCACTTACATAACTGGATTCTTAGAGCGGACTCAGAGCTTCACGGTGCTCTGCGCGCTGAGCACACGTGCGCCGGCTCTGCTCCCTCTTCCTCCCCTGACACTCGCCTCCACCGCCACTCGCCTCCACGGCCACCCGCCTCCGAGGAGTCAGGAAGTTCCAGATGGCCGCCGCCACGGCTCCGCGTCTGCAGGAACAGTCGGAGATGGAAGATGCTGATAATTCTGGAAAGAGTGTACACGAAGAAAATGGAGAAGTATCAGAAGACCAATCTCAAAATAAGCACAGTCGTCACAAGAAAAAGAAGCATAAACACAGAAGTAAGCATAAGAAACATAAACATTCCTTAGAAGAAGACAAGGATAAAAAACGTAAACATAAGAAGCGCAAAAGAAGAGAGGTTGTAGATGCTTCTGACAAAGAAGGTTTGTCTCCGGCAAAAAGAACTAAATTTGATGATTTAGCGTTGCTGGAAGACTTGGAAAAACAGAGAGCCTTGATTAAAGCTGAACTTGATAATGAGTTCATGGAAGGAAACGTCCGGTCAGGGATGGGGCCCATATTACAAGGTTATGAATCTGGCTCTGAAGAAGAGGGGGAAATTCATGAAAAGGCACGAAATGGAAATAGGTCTAGTATTAGATCTTCCACTACCAAGGGGAAACTTGAACTTATGGACAATAAAAATAGTACAAAAAGGCGAAGTAGAAGCAGATCCAAAGAACGGACTAGCCATAGGTCTGATAAAAAGAAAAGTAAGGGAAGTGTTAAAGAGAAGACAACTAGGAGCAAATCAAAGGAGAGGAAAAAGTCTAAAAGTCCATCCAAAAGAAGTAAGTCTCAAGATCAAGCAAGAAAGTCAAAATCTCCTACCCTTAGAAGGCGATCTCAGGAGAAAATTGGGAAGGCCGGATCTCCTACTGATGACAAGGTTAAGATTCAAGATAAAAGTAAGTCAAAAGATAGAAAAAAATCCCCAGTTATAAATGAAAGAAGTCGTGATCGAGGCAAAAAATCCAGATCGCCAGTTGACTTAAGAGGTAAATCCAAAGACAGAAGGTCACGGTCCAAAGAGAGAAAGTCAAAACGGTCTGAAACTGATAAAGAAAAGAAGCCAATTAAATCTCCCTCTAAAGATGCTTCTTCTGGGAACGAAAATAGATCACCCAGTAGAAGACCTGGTCGTAGTCCTAAGAGAAGAAGTTTCTCTCCAAAACAACGGGATAAATCCAGAAGAAGTAGATCTCCACTTTTAAATGATAGAAGGTCTAAGCAGAGCAAGTCACCTTCTCGAAATCTGTCTCCCGGTAGAAGAGCTGAGAGCCGATCCTTGGAAAGAAAACTAAGGAGACGACTTTCTTCCCCAAGAACACAACCTCGTGACGATATCCTCAGTAGACGCAAGAGATCAAAAGATGCCACCCCGATAAGTAAGTGGTCTCCAACCCGAAGAAGAGCAAGTAGATCTCCCATTAGAAGGAGGTCTCGCTCCCCACTCAGGCGGAGCAGGTCTCCTAGAGGAAGAAGCAGGTCCCCTCGGAGAAGGGATAGAGGTCGGAGAAGCAGATCACGTTTGAGAAGGCGGTCTCAATCACCTTCAGAAGGTGGTCGTAGAAGTAGGAGCAGAAGCAAAGTAAAGGAGAATAAATTTAAAGGAAGTCTTTCTGAAGGAATGAAAGTTGAGCAAGAATCTTCATCTGAAGATAACCTCGAAGACTTTGAGGTAGAAGAAGAAGAAGATGAAGAGGCCCTAATAGAGCAGAGAAGAATACAAAGGCAAGCAATTGTCCAGAAATATAAATATCTTGCTGACGATAGCAATAGGTCTGTGCCGTCTGAACCCAGCAGCCCCCAGAGTAGTACTCGTACACGGTCACCTTCTCCAGATGACATTTTGGAAAGGGTAGCTGCTGATGTTAAAGAGTATGAATGGGAAAATGTTGACACATTTGAGGCCTTGGTAAAAGCCAAGCATAATCTAATGACAGTTGAACCAAATAATGGGTCAGCTCAGAAAAAGCTGTTGGCACTTGATATGTTTACAGAATCTGATGATATGTTTGCTGCATATTTTGATAGTGCTCATCTTCGGGCTGCTGGCGTTGGAAAAGACTTTAAAGAGAATCCTAACCTCAGGGATAACTGGACTGATGCAGAAGGCTATTATCGTGTGAACATAGGCGAAGTGTTAGATGAGCGCTATAATGTGTATGGCTACACTGGTCAAGGTGTATTCAGTAATGTCGTACGAGCCAGAGATTCTGCAAGAGCCAACCAAGAAGTGGCTGTAAAGATCATCAGAAACAATGAACTCATGCAGAAAACTGGTTTAAAAGAACTCGAATTCTTGAAAAAACTTAATGATGCTGATCCTGATGACAAATTTCATTGTTTGCGGCTCTTCAGACACTTTTATCACAAACAGCATCTCTGTCTCGTATTTGAGCCGCTCAGCATGAATTTACGAGAGGTGTTAAAAAAATATGGTAAGGATGTTGGTCTTCATATTACAGCTGTAAGGTCCTATAGTCAGCAGTTGTTCTTGGCATTGAAACTCCTTAAAAGATGCAATATCCTACATGCTGATATCAAGCCAGACAATATCCTGGTTAATGAATCAAAAACTATTTTAAAGCTCTGTGATTTTGGGTCGGCTTCACATGTTGCGGATAATGACATAACTCCTTATCTTGTCAGTCGATTTTATCGTGCTCCTGAAATCATTATAGGTAAAAGCTATGACTATGGCATAGATATGTGGTCTGTAGGTTGTACCTTATATGAACTCTATACTGGAAACATTTTATTTCCTGGCAAAACCAACAACCATATGTTGAAGCTCACCATGGATCTCAAAGGAAAGATGCCAAATAAGATGATTCGGAAAGGTGTATTCAAAGACCAACATTTTGATCAAAACCTCAATTTCATGTACATAGAAGTTGATAAAGTAACAGAGAAGGAGAAAGTTACTGTCATGAGCACCATTAATCCAACTAAGGACCTGTTGGCTGACTTGATTGGGTGCCAGCGACTTCCTGAAGACCAACGTAAAAAAGTACACCAGCTAAAAGACTTGTTGGACCAGATCCTAATGTTGGACCCAGCTAAACGGATTAGCATCAACCAGGCCCTACAGCATGTCTTTATCCAGGAAAAAATTTAAATGAGATGAAGAAGCTCCAATGGTTTGAGTAATTAAATACAAAGACTGAAGAAATTTCACAGCAGTTTATTAATGTAAATAAACTTATAAATATCTCTCCATCAAATTTGAGGAAGCATGATATATTTGAATTAACACCAAGGGTGATGTTTCTTTTAGAAATGATAGTTAATCTGTTTTGTGTCTTATGTGAAATTTCACTGTAGAACTGTTTTAACTGCCAAGACTGCACAAAAATATAGTGCTAATGTATATGGTTGCAGTTCACATAAAACACAAAAGCATCTTGTTATGAAATAAGTAGTAATGCTGGGTGGTTGGTTTATTTTTAGCAGACTTGGCTTCATTTTGGTCTTTGGGTAAAATGGCCAGAATAAATGCTGTTTACATTTACATTTTCCTAGGTGTGTGTGTGCAGGCCACAGCAGCATGCCCTTGATGTAGTCATTGCCGAAAGGGGTCTGTTCCTTCTTGAGCCTGCCTGCAGGGATGGTCTCCTCTTTTAAAGCAGGTTGTGTACAACATTCAGTACACTGAAGGTAAGCTAAACCATCAACATCACTGGTGTTTTAAGATGTTATTTTATAGGAACAATGCCGGAAGCCGGTCCATCCTTGCTGCTTGACACAGTCGCTGCAGGGAAGAAACATCTGCACAGCATATGTTTCAAGGGACCTGGCATACTGTTCTTAATATGTTTGCTCCCCTTCTTGGTGTTATGTGTTCTAACCAGGGCCACCTCCCCGAGAAAGGTTGTTTCCCAGGTGGGGATTTTTCCCTGGAGTTAGGGATTAACAGGACTAAGGAAGAGAATAAATCAGTAAAACCCCTTAACTAAGTGCCAGGTGGGTAGTTAATCACCTTAACTACGAACAATCATGCTTAAGCTACATAATCTTTACTTAGGATAATCTCCTTCAGTTACTTCCTTGTACCTTAACAAAACAGTAGAGTAGTGACCTTGGAATGGAGATAACTAGCCCTAACCTTTGGAATAGAATGGATAGTATTAAAATCAACAGAACTAGATGGAGATGGGATTTTTGGCAAAGGTTAGATAAGAAACTATGGAACTGTAGAAGGTCAAGGGAGGACCCAAAACATACCATGATGTGACTATAGAGGCATGCTTATAGGATCAAATGGTATAAATACAGATGTAACAGGAGAATAAAGAGAGAACCTGGCTATGCTGATCATCTGAACGCTGTCTTCGTGTCCTTCATTCTTCGCCGACTCTGTCCACACTTTTGGGAACCCCTGGACTGCTAGGACTGGACCCTGGCAGAACAATTGACAAATGAGGGATATTAGCTTTGTGGCAGAATTCCCTGCATGTGTGATACCTGATCTTGTTTTATTTTTTGGCATTGCAACTGTGGCATAGTTACAATTTCTGTTCTGGTCATCACATTTAAAATTGGAAGAGTATGCGCTTGATGAATAGAGTGCCTTCAGTGTACTGTTTCTTATTAACTTTAATTTTTAAAAATCAACTTGCTATAGACTTTATATACATTTTGTTAATTGCAGTTCCTAGTGAGATAGAAACAATGCATAGTTTTCATTTACTAAATTAGAAATGTTGAGGCATAATTCTGAAAGTCCTCATATTTAAAAGTTACATAGACAACCTAATGAAATTTTTAACTATTTGTATGTCATTTTGAAAGTGTACTGCTTTATGGTAAAAGTGCTTTTCATTTGTTCATTGTTTTCATTATTTGTGATCATGTTGTCTTTCAATACAGGCATAAACCTTCCACTCTTGAACAAAGCAGCTGCTTTTTAAAGCGGTAATTGCTTCTTTACCTTTATTTCTTCTGTAAATGAAGCTTTTCTTTAAGAATGTGACTTTAAAGTGTTGTCTATTGCACAAAACAGTTGACACCCGCTTATTGTAAAGTGAAGATTGTTCTACTGCATGTGACGTGGCCATGCAGATTTCTGTATGTTCTCAGTATGCATCACTAGATAATAAAGTCTTTTGTGAACAAGGAAAAAAAAAAGACAAATAGCTTCAAGTAAATAAAATCCAAAAGATAATCTTTAAAAAAAGAAAGAAAAAAAAGAAGAAAGAAAGAAAGAAAGAAAGAAAGAAAGAAAGAAAGAAAGAAAGGAAGGAAGGAAGGAAGGAAGGAAGGAAGGAAGGAAGGAAGGAAGGAAGGAAGGAAGGAAGGAAGGAGAAAAAAAAAAGAAAATTACTCAGAAGAAACCTCAGGGTCAGGGGAGATCATGGCTAAATGGATCTAACAGGATTGTTGCTGAAGGCAGGCCTGGGTGACCAGACATCACCTTGGGCGAGGATGAGGACCCTGATTGGATACATAGGGTGATCAGATACTGAGGATGGGGGATTCTGGCTAAATTGACTTGTCAGACACAAACACAAAAAGCTCAAAAGGCAGGGTCTGGGGGAGGAGAGATCAGAGGAGCCTGAGTAGAGTTTGGTCAAGAATAGAGTTTTGTCAATAGATGGAACCAGGTGCCCTGGCTCTGGGCTTGGACTGGCTCTGCTGGTGGCTGGAATAGCTGTGCAGACAATAATGTTGAGTTCTCCTGTGTTCTGCGACTCCCCAAGATCACTCTCGAGTTCATTGATTAGCTCAAAGGAGTCACAAGAACTCCTCAAAGCTGTTATCTCAGCAGTTACGTTTACTGTAGTGAAAGGATACAGATTAACATCAACAATGGAAGAGGGGCCTGGGGCAGGGTCTAGGAGAGACCAGGCGGAGTTTTCACTTGTCCTGTTCTAGTGGAGTTATGTGGACAGTGCTGCATTCTCCCAGCAGTGGTGGGCGACAGCATCCATGGGTGAATGGACGGTCCCAAACCTTAGGGTCGAAAGAATCCCGTGAGGCCTGGGCACATCGTATTGGTATGGCGGACCAGTCTCCTGCTCCTCCAGAGGTACCATCACATGTGGTCAAGGCCCCCCCCCCCCCCGCCCCCGCCCCATCTTAAATGATATAGACAATCTGCTGTAGCCCAAGGCCTCGATAAACAAAGACACTCTAATCAGACAGAATGTTCCAAGGGCTTAGAGGTTACCTCCCAGGTGCTGAGTCAGGGCCCAGTCTTTTTTTTTTTTTTTTTAATATATTTTATTGATTTTTTTACAGAGAGGAAGGGAGAGGGATAGAGAGTTAGAAACATCGATCAGCTGCCTCCTGCACATCTCCTACTGGGGATGTGCCCGCAACCAAGGTACATGCCCTTGACCAGAATCGAACCTGGGACCTTTCAGTCCGCAGGCCGATGCTCTATCCACTGAGCCAAACCGGTTAGGGTGGGGCCCAGTCTTTGGAATGTGCAGGCTGAGGACAATCAACTAAGTTACTTCTTTAAGGAACATCCTTTCATTGAAATAATTAACTTAATACAGTTGATTCCTAGTGAAGCTTGACTCCAGTACTTATCAGACCTACTTTACTCCTAATTTAAAGCACTATTGAAAGTAGCACTTTCCTTTCATTGCATTTTTTAAAACACTGACAGCCTTCATGAAATGTCTGGCAATAGCAGCTTTGTACTTAAGTGAACAAGGTGTTATAATGAACAAAAAGAATCTATATTAGTTTCCTATGGCCACTGAAACAAATTACCATAAACTTGGTGGCTTAAAACAACAGAAACCATTATCTCACAGTTCTGGTGACTAGAACTCTAAAAGCAAGGTGTCAGAGGCTCTGGGGCAGGGGAGGAGGGATGGGACCTTTTTTCTGCCAAGGGCCATTTGAATA